GAAATTGCCTACGAAGCTGTGTGTTTATTCTGTTTGTATTTTAGAGATTGTTATTTACATTTTTCTTGTGTTAGAGTTTTGATAACATGTATCAGGCTAGTGTGAGTGCCTGGAAAGTGGGTCCCTTGGGTTGTGCTTTTCTGAGCCCACGAGCGCTGTGGAAGGCAGCTGGAGCCACCTGGCCTCCTTCCTGAGGGTGGGGAGTGCAGCGTCTGGACTTGCTCTTGCATCAGGGGGGCACCTGGCTTCCACTGCTGGAAGCCAGGCCCGATCCCAGCCCAGTGTGCCCTGGGAGCCCCCTCCCCAGGCCAGCACGCCCTCCAGCCAGTTCCCTGCAGCCGAAGGCCTTGCTGGGCCTCCCAGATGTGGCTCACCCAGGCCCTGCAGGCAGAGCCAGGTCCCTGTGGGCACCTGCTGGTGGAGACCCGAGCCAGGGAGTACCTGCACTGACCATCGGCCCTCTCGGGCCGTGCCAGCCCCTGGCTCCAGGTAATGGGGCTGCCGTGAGCCCAGGACTGGGAAGGGCGGCTGCCAGGCAGAGCTGGGCCGTCTCTGCTGTTCGAGGGGGGCGGGCGAGCTGTGTCGAAAGCTGCTGGTGCCAGAGTCCAGGCAGTCCTGGAAATTGTGTGTTTATTCTGTGTGTGGTGTTGTTGTTTTATTTGTTGCTTTAAAACTTTTTAAATCGTGGAACAAGATAAGCATACTGGAAAGTGCGGAGTGTAGCTGACGACATGCTTGCTATGCGGAGCAGGCGCCCGTGTGGGACAGAGGCTGTCCTGTGTCCCCTGGTCTCCCGCGTCCCCCCATCCGGCACGCTGTGGTCACTCCTGAGCTTCTCTCCCTTTCCGCCGGAGCCGGCTCTCGACGCCTACAGCCCTGTCTGGCTCCTCTCAGGTCCTGGCAGAGGAGTGTCATGTGGGCTTGTGTTTGAGGGTCTGTGTTTCTGTGCGTGGCGGCATTGCCTTCCACTGCTGTGTGGCATCCCGTGGCAGGACTGTTCCTGGTGTGAGTGCCCCCGCCCCGCTTGTGGACGGGGGTGGGTCTCAGGAGTGTGTGGTTTGCATCTCCCAACAGCCCCCCCCCCCCAGCGCACACTCCCCCGCTCTGGATGTTTCCCACTTTTCCCAGGCAGGGTCTCGCCTGCAGAGGGTCAGGCCACCAGGGCCCTGCCTGCACCCCTGCGCTGAGCACCCAGGTGGTGCAGACCCCGGTGAGGGGGGGCTGCTAGCCCCAAGGGAGCCAGCCACGCCGGGTGGCTGCTGGGGCAGGAGGGTGGGCCTTCCTTCGCAGGGGCCCGGGCGCCCTTCCCTGCTGGCAGTTGCCCAGAAGAGCCCAGCCTGGCGTGCAGAGCCGTTCTGTGTTGGCCGCAGCTGTGGCTTCTGCCACCTTCTAGAGCCAAGAAGGACGGTGCTGAAGGAGTTAACTAGGTCAGCCAGCGCCTGCCCACCAGGCCCAGCCCAGGATCACCAGACAGGAGAGGGGCTGGCCGGGGTGGGGAGCTGGGATCCTATTAAGCAAAGCACCTTATTGCCCCAGGGGTGGGGCTGCCTCCTACGTGCCCAGACGCCCGTGCCCTGCTGCCCGGCCGCCCGGCTCTGATGCCAGCCGTGCGTGCACGTGGGGGCCGCGGGCTGGCGTGCTGGAGCCAGCTCTGTTCCCAGGGCCCCGGGCTCGCTGCCCAGAGATAGGGACCGTGTCGATTTTGTTCTGCCCCTTTTAAAGTTTCACATTGTCGGGAGCCTCCCGTGCACGGGGTCCAACTGGTCATCCCCTGCGACGGGGACAGCCCCCGGGAGCGGTCACCAGTGGGTCTGGGCGTGGTCCTGCCGCGTGCCTGCCGAGTGCCGCCCTCCCCCCCCACGTCTGCCCTTGAGACAGGCTGCGAGCTGGGGCCTCCCGGGCTGGGATGCCGGTGCGGGGGCCTGGCACGCTTGCTGTCAGGTCGAGGGTCTGCCCGTAACTGTGTGCGGCTGGGGTGCACTGGGGTCCCCCAGACCTGCCCCGGCGGAACTGAGTCCCCCACAGGAGCCGGGAAGCAATCCTGGCCTTCCAGGTGTCTGAGGGGGGTAGCTTGGTGCCTGGAGCCTGCCTGGCCCCTGCTCCCCAGGGGAGCTTCTAAAAGCCAAATCTAGCCGAGCAGAGGTGGCAGAGTGGAACCCGGTGCAGTCTCGCTTCTGGGTGGGCGAGGGCTTGGCAGGGTGGCCTGGCTGTGACCACCGAGGCTGTGCTCTGACCTTTGCCCCCCAGGGGCCCCAGAGAGAGCCCTGAGCCCTTCCCACGGCGAGAGCTGGGGGGACCCGAAGGCAGTTTGGGATGGCCCCAGGTGGACAGCAGGGAGGGGGTCGTGGGGACGGGTCTTGGGGACAGGCTGGGACTGTCACCTCCCTGGAGTAGGTCCCCACCTTCTCTTTCTGGTCCCTGCCAGGGCTGGAGGCAGCTCGGCCGGGCTCCCCTGGGCAGGCGATGTGGTCACGGCCAGCTGCTGGCTTGGCCTCCCTTGGCACAGCCGAGGTCGAGGGTGGGGGCTCGAGCACCCTCCTGTGCTGCCCCTGCCCAGTGCTGGACGGGCCTCCCTGTGCGCTTCTGAGGCAGGCCCTGGCTGGCGCTGGCCGGTGGCTTCCAGAGAAGGCTCCACAGGCACAGGTGCAGCCCTGGGTGCATCTGAGGCCCGAGGCCCAGCGGGCGTCTGGATCCCTGCTGGGGTGCACTAGATGTTGGCCAGTGTGGGGTCCTGGGCCTGGGTCTCCCGAGGCTCAATGGCGTGTGGGGAGGTAGACACCACAGCCTTGCTGACCCTGTGTCCTGTGCCCAGAAGGACTTTTGTGGGGAGACCAAGCACGACCCAGGCCAAGGGACAGCCCTGTCCCCGCTGAGTGACTGACCGGGCAGAGTGCCCAGCTGGTGGGGGGCAGTGAGGAGGCTGCAGTGTTGGGACCCCACGGCCCGGCCTGCCGTGAGCCCACCGAGCGTCTCCCAGTCCCGGGAGCAGCACCCATCAGGGCTGCAGGGAAGATGAGTGTGGTGCAGGGCCAGGAGGGGTCTCCAGGAAATGCAGGTGTTGGGGGTGAAATCTGTGAACTGGGGCACAAGGGCAGAGTGTGGGGTGGCCGGGGACGTGGAGCATTCTGGCTGGACGGAGTGGGGGATGGGGTGGGGCCGGGCTGCAGAGTGGCAGCAGTGGGGGGCCTCATGGCAGGCCCCGTGGGCTTGGGGTAGAGGCCACTGGGTTGTCTCTAGTGCCCTGGGATCTCCAGGGAGAGGTGGCCTCAGTCTGTGCCTCCCTGGCCCCTGCCCTGCCAATGCCTGCATGGGGCCCCCGCTGTCCCTCGTCTCTGCGGGTCTTGGCTTTGCTGAGGGGGTTTGGGGCCCTGGTGGAGGGTCATATCCTGGGGGGGGACCCACTGCCTCCTGCTGACAGGTGGCCCAGGGCAGGTGACAGGGAAGGGAGGCTCAGGGCGCCTTGCAGTGGTCCCTAGAGGGGCTGGGGGCAGACTTGGGAGCAGGGAGTGGGTGTTGTGTCTCTGCAGCTATTTCTGGGTCCCCATCCTTCTTCCTGCGGCCCAGGGTGGGTGGGGCCTGCCTCGGGTTATCTCTCCCTGCAGCTGGCCTGGGAGGTGGCTGGGGCCTGGTCCCAGGCCTCCCTCTTGAGGTAGGTGACGAGCCAGGCGGGGCCTGCTTTGTGGGCAGGTTCTCCCGGGCTGTGCCTGGGCTTCAGAGTACCCTCTGGGCCACGTGGGGTTGGAGGGGCCTGGGTGCGCAGTCCGGGCCGCGTTCTAGTGGCATTGGCCTCTGCCACCCGGAAGGCACTCCCTCCTCAGCCTGCCCCTCCGCTGGCGCAGCTCTGGGGACGTGGGGACATGCTTCCAGGGGCAAGTTGGCATGCCAGGCAGCACCCGGCAGCCCAGTGCGTCCCCCATCCGGGCCTGGGCCTGCTTTTCCTTGGTCCTGCCAGGGCAGGGACAGGGCACGTCTCGTGGGGTTGGCAGACACAGGCCTGGGAGCTGGGCTGGGGCGGGGGCCCAGGTCTCGGGCCTGTGGCTATCGGGGGGTCCCTCCTGCCCCGCGTAGCAGCCCCTCTGTGCTCTGGGCCGGCACATAACTGCCCGCACCCCCTTACATCTTGGGGTATAAAATTGCAGCTGCCACGGGGAAGCGCTGGGGACAGGGCTGTGTGCAGGGCTGGGAGGGGCCTGGGGCGTGGGGACCTCTCTCCTCTGGCTGTAGGTCTGCCCCGCATGTAGGCGCAGCACTGTGTGGGACAGGAGGTGGGGTTGGGGCCCAGCCCGCCTGGGTCTACTCGGCTCAGCCCTGCGGTGGAGGTGGGGGCGGCTGCCGCTGGTGCGTGAGCAGCTCCCTGGCTGGCAGGGTGGTGCTGTGTGTGTCTGGGTCTCCATGTCACAGGGACAGAGGGGGAGCATGTTGGTGGCTCCCAGCAGGGGTCTGTGTCCGGGCTGGGGCTGAGCAGGAGTGGCTGGCCCTGCAGTGGAGGGGAACAGGCCGGGGGTGGCAGCCTGAGCCCCAGCCTGCCAGGTCGGCAGGGAGCAGGGCGCCTCGAGCTCTGAGTCAGCCTGGCAGCCCCAGCCTGTAATCTGTCGGCGTCGCTGATCCGGAGTCAGGAGCTGCCGTCCCCGGGTCTGAGGCCAAGGCCTCCCGCGCCCCTGGGCTCGGCCCTGCCCCTGGGTGGTGCCTTCGGCCGGGAGCTGCTTGCTGCTTGCAGGATGGCAGTCTGGGCCCCCTCGAAACTGGGGCCAGGGGGCCTTTCCTCAGTCTCGACGGAGGCCAGGGTGGCCATGACAGGCGTCCACTGCACAGCCCACGTGGCCCACGGGCACCCTCGATTCCCGGCCACTGGCTGCTGGCCGAGGCCTGGCGTGCCTACTCCGCCCGAAGCCCTGTGAGCCCAGTGGTATGTGGGGGCACCTGTGTGTCTTGTGGGGCCACGCCTCGAACCCCACAGCATGGCACCTCCTCCCACCTCTCACGGCCTCTTTGTCTTGTAGGAAATGGCCAATTCCGTGTACCTGGTCATGGAGGTGAGTGCCTGGGGCCTGCTGGGAGGACGGGGTGGGACACAAGTGGAGCAGGGCAAACCCCATCGCCTGGGGCCTGGGCAGGGGAAGTGGCATTGCCTGTGTCCTTGGGCATTAATGGCCACACTGGGCTCAGACGTGGAGGGAGGGACATGGCTGGAGTGGTGGGCGGTGATGAGCACCAGCAGGGATTGCCAAGGACACAAGCCCTGGGGTTCGTTGGATGCCTGAGGGCCTGGGAAGCAGCATCCAGGGTTGGAGACACACGGGGCGGGGGTTAGGGGGACCCCTGGCGTGACTGACGACGGCTCTCTGGTCTCCGCAGTATTGCAACGGCGGGGACCTGGCTGACTACCTGCACAGTGAGTGGACAGGCCACCCCGGCCCAGCCTCTGCACCGTGCTGGCCTTTCTCCCCCAGAGGGCCTCCCGGGGTGGGTGGGAGGGGGGGGCCTGAGCCGTTTTGGGCCCTTCAGCGACCGGCTGTCCATCTACCTCCCACGGGCCAGGTCTCTGGTCTGGAGAGTGGCGGGTACAGGACGAGCAGGTGTGGGGGGCGGTGGGGGCTGCATGTGGCTGGGAAGGTGGCATCCGGCCTGAGCTGAGTGGAGCGGGGTCCATGCGGGAGCAGGATGTCAGTGCAGAGGGTCGGCCCTGGGGAAGGTTCTGTTCGGCGGCAGGGGCCATGGACCCACCCTGCTGGGTGCATCTGAGCTACAGGTGCTCGCAGGGTGTGGAGGTGAGGGGTGCGCCTCAATAGCCTTCAAATGGGGTGTCCTGGTGGCCTGGAGGTGGTGGGGGAGACACATGAGTCTGGGACTTTGGCCTGCATGTGGGGAACGACGGGGCGGCATCTGTCCGGGTCCACTGGAGCTGCTGTTACAAAATGCCCAGACCGAGCTGTTCACAAGCAGGTTCACTGCTCAGCTCTGAGGGCCGGGCGTCTGGGCTGAGGAGCTGGCAGACTCGCAGCTTCCGCAGGCCTGGGGCTGGGCAGAAGGGCTCCCTCAGGCCTTGTCCATGAAGGCACTGAGCCCGCTGCCCTAATCGCTCCCAAAGGCCCCACCTAATACTGTTACCCTGGGGGAAGGGTCTCCACCTAGGAATTTTGAGGGACACTTTCAGACATAGGACCGTTCCCAAGGTCTGGCATCCGGGGCTTCATGTTAGCCAGGTGCCCGGGGCTTCATGTTAGGCCGTGTCTGGAGTCGGGTGAGAGACGGGACCAGGGGCAGAGCCGGGACTGCCAGGGCCAGGCGGGAGGGGAGGAGCTGGTAGGGCATGGTGCTCCTGGAGCCCGAGTGGGGCTCCTCCCCGGGCTCCTCCCTTGGCGTCTCTGCCTTCTGTGCTGGGGCCCTGGTTGGGGACACGCTGGCTGTGGCTGAGCCGTCAGGGCAGACTCGGGCTGGAAGGGCCCCTCCTTACATGGCCCAGGCAGCGTCCAGAGCTGACAGGTGCTGGCCCGGGTGCTCTGGGCCGTCTGCCGCACCTGGCCAAGCACGTGGCTGGGGCATGCTGGGCGCTGCCGCCCAGTGTTTGCTGTCGATCTCGTGGCCGCCACGCTGCCTGCTGGGGCGGTGACCTTCGGTGGCTGGGCAGTTCCTGGCTGGTTTTCAGGCTCCACAGGTGTCAGGTGCGGCCTAGGCTAGCCTCAGGTGCCACTGCCTGTGGAGGCAGGGAGGGAGGTTTGGGAGCCCCAGGGGCCCAGCTGGAGGGCTGGTCTGTCCTGGGGCTGGTGGTAAGAGGCGCTCACGTGTCCCAGGTGTATGTGTCTGTGTGACTGTCTGAGCGTGTCTGCAGGCGAGTGTGGGCCTCCCAGCCTCTGAGGAGGGGCTTAGCTCTGGGGCCAGCAGGACAATGAGGCTGTGTCCCCTGCCTTGTGCTGTCAGGCCAGGGTGAGCCTGGCTCAAGGGACAGAGGGCCTGGGCGTCTGGGTCTGGATTTTTTTTTTTCCACCCCCCCTGGGTCTGGATTTTGATATTAGGTGAACACGTGCTAGCTCTTGGGGGGTGTGTCTCCGTACGGGGAGACCAGGAGGAGCGGCCTCACCCCTAGCGGGCTGGGAGCTGCAGCGGGTGGCCAGCAGGAGTAGTGTGAGGGTGTCCCCACCGCCTGCTGAGCGGGCAGGACCAGTCTGGCCAGGCAGCGACGTCCCATGCCTACCCAGGGTGCGGGGTGTCGGTGACCCCTGAGCCCGCGTCTCCCCGCAGCCATGCGCACGCTGAGCGAGGACACCATCAGGCTCTTCCTGCAGCAGATCGCCGGCGCCATGCGGCTGCTGCACAGCAAGGGCATCATCCACCGCGACCTGAAGCCCCAGAACATCCTGCTGTCCAACCCCGGCGGGCGCCGCGCCAACCCCAACAACATCCGCGTCAAGATCGGTGGGTCCCGCGGGGCGTGGCCCCGGGCTGCGGCGGCCCAGGCTGGCCGTGCTGACGCGTGTCTCTCCCGCAGCCGACTTCGGGTTCGCGCGGTACCTGCAGAGCAACATGATGGCGGCCACGCTCTGCGGCTCCCCCATGTACATGGTGCGTGCGCCCACCCCTTCCCCAGGGCAGCCTGTTTCCCGCTGCCTCTGCTCTGGTTGGCTGGTGCTTGGCAGGCGTCTGCTGATTGGCCGGTGCCCGGCAGGCGCGTGCTCTGATTGGCCGCCGCCCGCAGGCGCGTGCTCTGATTGGCCGGCGCCCGCAGGCGTGTGCTCTGATTGGCCGGCACCTGTTCTCGGTCAGCGGGCGCGAAAGCCGTCCCGCCCGTGGCGCCGACCGAGCCTCTGTCACGCCGCAGGCTCCTGAGGTGATCATGTCCCAGCACTACGACGGGAAGGCCGACCTGTGGAGCATCGGCACCATCGTCTACCAGTGCCTGACGGGGAAGGCGCCCTTCCAGGTGAGCGGCTCTGCGGCCGGGCCTGGCCGGGACGCCCCCGCGGGTGGCTGCGCCGCTGCTCTGGCCGTCGCGCGGGGACCCCGCGGTCCCTCCGGGGGGCCGGCGGGAGGCTGAGCCGCTGGGGCCCTGCACCGCCCTGGCACCGCCAGCCTCCTGCTCGGCCGAGGCCGCGCCCCCTGTGGCAGTTAGGTGTAGCCAGCGCCCCAGCCGCGGCGGCCAGCTCGCGCGGTGTGCGGTGTGCGCCGGGCGGGTCTCCCGGTCGCCTCCCGCCCTCCCCTGTGACCCCAGCGCCGGGGCGCGCCGGAAGCTGTGCCCTGCGTTGCGGGGACCCCTGAGGGCCAAGGCTGCGTGTGGCCAGCGCGGCAGTGCGTGCGTCCTGTGCTGGCCTGAGCGCCGAGCCTGCGTTGCTGCCTGCAGGTCCCCGCAGCCCCCACCCCGCCCTGTCCGGGGACAGCGAGCACCCAGGGGACGTCACCCTGTGAGGCCCTCTGCTGCGTCCCGGGGGCCTGGAGGGTGTCTGGCGGGGCGATGCGTAGAGCGCAAGGGTTGAGCACAGCATGTGCTCGGCCCAGGCCCACCAGGAGTGGCTGGTCCCTGTGACGGTGGAGGATGGGTGGCTGCTAATTCCAAGGAGCCAACAGCTGGTGGCACCAAAGCCCTTGGATGCACGCAGGGCCCAGCCAGCCTGTGGGGTCGGGGGAGGCGGATGGGCCGGCCCCTCCCAGCCCCCTGGGGGCCAGGAGTGCTGTACGGGCCCCAGTCTGGTGGGGCTGGGGAGGGGGCATGTGGTCTGGGCCAGCAGGCCTGGCCTGGGGCTGGCCGAGGATGTGGGCTGAGACCAGGCAGTGCCCAGTGCGGCTGGGCCCTGCCTCCCCCGGGGCTGGGCACTCAGGCTGTGTTCACCCGCCAGGCCAGCAGCCCCCAGGACCTCCGCCTGTTCTACGAGAAGAACAAGACGCTGATCCCCACGTGAGTGCCCCTCCGCACACCCCAGGGGCCCGAGCAGGCTCCCGCTCTGCCCAGCCTCATGCCCTGCCCCCCGCAGCATCCCACGGGAGACCTCGGCCCCCACACACCCCAGGGCCCTGAGCTGTCTTCTGACGTCTGCCCAGCCTCATGCCCTGCCCCCCCGCAACATCCCACGGGAGACCTCGGCCCCCACACACCCCAGGGGCCCGAGCAGGCTCCCGCTCTGCCCAGCCTCATGCCCTGCCCCCCGCAGCATCCCATGGGAGATCTCGGCCCCCACACACCCCAGGGGCCCGAGCAGGCTCCCGCTCTGCCCAGCCTCGTGCCCTGCCCCCCCGCAACATCCCACGGGAGACCTCGGCCCCCACACACCCCAGGGCCCGAGCAGGCTCCCGCTCTGCCCAGCCTCACGCCCTGACCCCCGCAGCATCCCACGGGAGACCTCCGCCCCCACACACCCCAGGGGGCCCGAGCAGGCTCCCGCTCTGCCCAGCCTCACGCCCTGACCCCACAACATCCCACGGGAGACCTCGGCCCCCACACACCCCAGGGGCCCGAGCAGGCTCCCGCTCTGCCCAGCCTCACGCCCTGACCCCCGCAGCATCCCACGGGAGACCTCGGCCCCCCTGAGGCAGCTGCTCCTGGCCCTGCTCCAGCGCAACCACAAAGACCGCATGGACTTCGGTGAGTAGCCGCGGACTATGCCTCCCAGCAGCTTGGGGAATGCACCACTGGCACACCTCACACTGTCCGCTCATGCGGCGTTTGCTTATTTGGGAGGGGCGTCCAGCTTCATCCCCTGCACCCCCAGCCCCGCTGGGACTCTGGCCCCTGTAAGCCTAGTGTGGGCGGTGGGCACAGGCTTGTGCCACCCTCCCCTGGCTGGTCTGAGCCTGGGCACCCCTGCGGGCCCCAGAGCGGCCACCTCAGCCCGAGGGGCGGCAGCGAGTCACCCCAGTGTGCTCGGCCGCCAGGTGCTGGGTTTGCAGCGGGGGTGGGTGGAGAGGACCAGCCTCCGACGGGTGGGCCGTGTCGGCCTGGTGGCGAGAGGGTGGCCGATGTGCTCAGGAGCCACCCAGGCGCTCTGTGTCTGCCCAGCACAGTGCTGTCTGGCTGGGACAGGTGCCACAGCCAGCTGCAGTGCCGCCCCGGGTTCTCCAGGCCCTGCGGGCAGGGCCTGCTAAGACCTCACCCCTCCCTGCAGATGAGTTTTTCCACCACCCGTTCCTGGAGGCCAGCCCCTCCGTCAAGAAGTGTGAGTGTCTGTGGGTCCCACCCTCTGGTCTGGCCCAGCCCCTCCTGCAGGCCGGTGTGGGTCTCGCCCCCGCTCCTCTCCCGCTGGGCAGTTTGGGAGAGTGGTGCTGCCCAGGGTCTGGTGGGTCACAGCGGGCAGTGGCCTGGGAGCTGGTGCCACCAGCAGGCTCTGGCTGGGTGGGGGTGTGGTTTGGCTTGTCTTGCGTCGGGGTTGGCTCTGTGGGAGCAGCGTGCCCACCGGGGTGGCAGGGCACCGCACACTGACCCCCCCCCCCCCCGCAGCCCCGCCGGTGCCCGTGCCCACTGGGGTGGCAGGGCACCGCACACTGACCCTCCCCCCACCCCCGCAGCCCCGCCAGTGCCCGTGCCCTCCCGCCCCGGCTCGGGCTCGGGCAGCAGCTCCAGCAGCAGCTCCACGTCCCACCTGGCCTCCCCGCCGGTGAGTCTCCACCCAGCCCCGCCCGGCGGGCGCCTGCCTTGGTGTCTGTCTGCGTGAGCCCTGAGAGACACTGGTGACCACGTCCCCTTGTAGAACGTGGACACGGTAGAAGTCGGTGAAGGCCCCTCCAGCGCTGGTCTTCGCCTGCGCCCCAGGGGCTGGCGCGGCCGCGCGGTGGGTGGAGTGCGTGGGTCGCCCGGCTCCCTCCTGTCTGCTCAGACTCGAGATCCAGGGGTGACGACCCTAAGTTATATGCTGTGACTGACCAGGGCTCGAGCCCCGTCAGTCCATACGTCCATCCACCCAAGTGCCCAGCTCTTCCCTCAGGGGCATCTGGGTGACACTGAGTCAGTGTCTGAGTCCTGGCCCACCCTGTGCCCAGAAACCAGGGGCAGGACTGTGCTATGACGCCCCAGAGCTGCCCTGGAGCCCTCCCGAGCGGGGCGGGTTCTGGAAGCCCAGCCAGGCTGGCGTGCGCTGGGCCTTAGCATGGTGCTGGCCGCAGAGCACACCCCTGGGGCAGCTTCTGCACTGGCCACCCCCCACGGCACCCCGTCACGTGGCTGTAGAAATGGAGAGGTGGACGGGTGGGGACACCCCCAGACACAGGGCCTCCCCTTGAGCTGTGGGCCTTCCTGTCACGCTGGCTGGGATGGTGGGGGGCTCCGTGCTGGTGGCTGTACCAGTAGGGTCAAGGTCAAGGCTGGCCTTGGTGTCGACTTTAGAAATGTAAAGAGAAAAGGAAAGAGTAGCTCGTGGGAAGAACACACACCAAGCCCCTTTTTTCAGCCTGTAGTGGTCCCTGGTCCTGGCTGAGGACGAGGGCCATCCTGGAGGAGTGGGATTTCCTCCCCTGGGTGTCGGGGGTCCCCGGGACCTGGCTCACCAGCCCTTCCTCTGACCCCAGTCCCTGGGGGAGATGCAGCAGCTGCAGAAGACGCTGACCTCCCCTGCCGACGCCGCTGGCTTCCTGCACGGCTCCCGGGACTCAGGCGGCAGCAAGGACTCCTCCTGCGACACGGACGACTTCGTCATGGTCCCGGCCCAGTTTCCAGGTCAGGGCCCACCGGGCAGGGAGGGGCCTGCGTAGTGTCTGTGGTGGGGACACGCTGGACGTGTGTGGCCCAGACCTGTCTCCACCCATGGGCAGTCAGGACGGGCTTCCGGGAGCTTCCGGCAGCAGCTGAGCTTGGTGGGGAAGGCCGTCTGCTCGCGCCACTCCTGGGCAAAGCCGCGACCTCCCTGTTGCTGTCAGGCAGTCAGTGGCCCAGGCCCTGGTCCTGCCGGGCCACTCCTCGTAGGGTGTGGCTGCCCTGCAAGGGCCCCCATCGCTCTCGTCTGCGCACCTGCGCCATGGTGCTTTCCCCTTGGCGTTCGGTGGATGCAGGTGCCCAGCCTTAGCAGACCAGGCCTGGGGGTTCACAGCACCTCTTGGGGCCCTGCATGCTGGCAGCTCTGAGACAGCAGGGACTAGGGACCCCTTGGTGCCGGCCCTGGTGAGTGGTGTCCGCTGAGCCCTGGGCACCTGCTCTCAGCCTGGCTCCAGGGTTCCCCACCACTCAGGACGGCGGGGAGGTAGGGGCAGGAGCCTGGCATTCTGGGGTTTGGGCCCAGGCTGGGGGCTGTGGACTCCTGGCCAAGGCTGGGCGCCAGGGACCCAGCGTCTCAGGGGCAAGGCTCAGGAGGAGGAGGGCAGTGCGGGTGGGGAGGAGCAGGGACTGCCTTGTCCCGCCCTCCCGGGGACTTGAAGGGGCTACCACAACCCCGGCGTAGGCTGCTCTCTGCGCAGGGCTGGCCCTGCCTGCAGCCCCCACTCTGTGAAGAAAGTCGGGGAGCCCTGGCGTGGTGGGTGGGCCTTAGTGGGCAGAGAGAACTTGGGGTCCAGCACTGTTGTCTTCCTCTCGTAGGTGACCTGGTGGCCGAGGTGGCTGGTGCCAAGCCCCCGCCGGACAGCCTCATGTGCAGCGGGTGAGCCCCCCCTCAAGCCCTCTGTTTTGGGGGCGAGAAGCGGTGGCCCGGGAAGTGGCCGTGTTACCCGCCCGGCTCACGCCTGCGGCAGTCGGCAGTGGGAGAGCAGAGGTGACAGGGAGGGCCGGGCGTGTGCCGCCCGTGGCTTGACTGCCCTGCCTGGCCTCTTCCTCTCCAGGAGCTCCCTGGTGGCCTCTGCTGGCCTGGAGAGCCGCGGCCGGACCCCGTCCCCGTCCCCACCCTGCAGCAGCTCCCCCAGCCCCTCAGGGTAAGGGGCCGGAGTGGTGGGAGGCCCTGTCCCAGGGGGCTGGGCACAGGCTGGCCCACACGGCCACGGGCAGCACATGCACAAGTGTCCAGGCTGCCTCTTCCAGAGCTGGCGGGCAGCGCAGGGAGGCCCTGTCCCAGGGGGCTGGGCACAGGCTTTTCCCGGGCTCGGTCTCCGTGACCTCAACCTCCCCCAACAGCCGGGCCGGCCCGTTCTCCAGCAGCAGGTGCGGCGCCTCCGTGCCCATCCCGGTGCCCACGCAGGTGCAGAACTACCAGCGCATAGAGCATAACCTGCAGTCGCCCGCCCAGCACCAGACACCCCGGTGAGTGCAGGCCCAGGGAGGGCGCGTCCCTGCCGCCGCCCCTTGAGAAGAGCAGGGCCCTCGTGCAGCCCGTGCACTGCATAGCTCAGCAACGCCGTTCGCTTCGTCAGCACAGGGGCTCTGCTTATTCTGACACCTGATCGGTGCCAGCAAAGCGTCTTGAGCTTATAAAGTCTGTATTTTGGCGAGTTTCAAGAGACAGAAGTAACCGGAGGGAAGAGCAGCCCTTTTGAGAGGGTGTGGGCGACGGTTATCCTCACAGGGGCTGTGGCCTCAGTGTGAGGGTACCTTGGGAAACGCGGGACGCCCCGGCCAGGACAGCGAAGGGTTCGGCCCCTCCCACGTGGCCCTAGGAGAAGCTGCCTGGGCAGCGCACAGTGGGGGTGGGGCAGCGCCTGGCCGTGCTGGCCACTAGGGATGCCAGGGCCTCACTCGCCCTGCCCGCAGGTCCTCGGCCATCCGCAGGTCGGGCAGTGCCAGCCCCCTGGGCTTCACCCGGGCCAGCCCATCGCCCCCAGCCGCCATGGAGCACGGAGCCGTCCTGGCCAGGAAGCCGTCCCTGGGCGGGGGCCGGCCATACACGCCGTCCCCGCAAGGTGAGCCGGGGTGGGGGCTGGGGTGGGGCGCCAGGTGACTTTGCCCTGACCTGGCCTGACCCTGGCTTCTCTCCCCCAGTCGGGACCATCCCCGAGCGGCCGGGCTGGAGCAGGGCGCCCTCCCCGCACGGAGCCGAGGTGCGGCCCGGCAGGTCCCCCCGTGCAGGTGGGTGCCGCCCATCCCCGCCTCGCCGGCCCGCTGTCCCATCGCCCTTGTCTCGCACAAGGAGGATGACAGACGGGAGCCCTGAGGTCCCCACCTTGTGCCAGGGCCTGGGTGGGTTTCGTAGTCCCTCCGCCTGTTGCTGTAGGTGGTGGGGGGCCGGCGTCCCCTCCGGGGTGGCGGGGGTCGGAGGGGACCGAGGTTTGGGCTGTGCTGCCCGAGCGGCCTCTGTGCGGCGGCCACGGCAGCAGCGGTGCCGTCTCGGGCGGGCAGTGGTGGGCAGTGACGGGCGCCCTGTCCATAGGCTCCTCGGCGCCCGAGCACTCTCCACGATCCTCCGGCCTGGGCTGCCGCCTGCACAGCGCCCCCAACCTGTCCGACCTGCACGTCGTGCGCCCCAGGCTGCCCAAGCCCCCCACGGACCCGCTGGGCGCTGTGCTCAGCCCCCCGCAGGCCAGCCCTCCCCAGCCGACCCATGGGCTGCCGTCCTGCCGGCCCCTGCGCGGCTCACCCAAGCTGCCTGACTTCTTGCAACGCAGCCCGCTGCCGCCCATCCTGGGCTCCCCGACCAAGGTAGTGGCGCCGAGGCCTGTTCCCCAGAGGCTCAGAGGGACGGGTGGGGGGCCTCCCGGGTGTCCTGGGTCCGCGCTGCGCTGCGGTCCTGTCCGGTGCCCAGGTGGGCTCGTGCTCAGGTCGCACCTCTGCCGGGCCCTTGGGACGCGCCGCTCGCCCGCCCTCGCGGGTGCAGACGGGGTGCAGGCCGGGCAGGGCGACTCAGAACCATGCCCTCCTAGGCTGTGCCCGTGGTCGACTTCCCCAAGAACCCCAGCTCCCAGAGTCTGCTGACCCTCCTGGCCCGGCAGGGCGTGGTGGTGACGCCCCCCCGGAACCGGACGCTGCCCGACCTCTCGGACGTGGGGCCCTTCCAGGGCCAGCAGCTGGGCCCCGGCCTGCGCCCCGGCGAGGACGCCAAGGGCCCCTTTGGCCGGTGCGTGTGCGTGGGGGCCGCGGACACTGGGCTCTCGGCGGGGCCCCAGAGTGGCTGCTGTGAGCTGCGGGGGGCTGGGAAGGGGCATGGAGAGCCGGGCCCTGCTCTGGCTGGCCCTGCGGCCGCAGGCTCACACCTTCCCCGGCCTCTGCGCCCTGGCGAGATGGGCTGCGGCGGTGGCGCCTTCTTCATAAGGGGGAGGGGCGCTGCATGTGCCCGGCCTGGGTGAGCTCAGTGGAGCCGGTGGGGCAGGCTGGGCCCTGCCCCTGTGGCGCTTGTCCCAGAGCCCTGTGGTCACCGCGCCCCAGGTCCTTCAGCACCAGCCGCCTCACGGACCTGCTCCTGAAGGCCGCGTTTGGGACGCAGGCGCCGGACTCGGGCAGCACAGACAGCCTGCAGGAGAAGCCCATGGAGATCGGTGCGTGGTGGGGCTGGCGTGGGATGGGGAGGCGATGGCCGGAATCGGGCAGCCGGAACAGCCTGCCCAGACAGCTGTGGAGACGGGTGCTCAGTGGGGTAGGGGACAAGACTGGGGGACGCAGCCTGAGCCCCGCCTTGCCCTCGCAGCGCCCTCTGCTGGCTTCGGAGGGAGCCTGCACCCGGGAGCCCGTGCAGGGGGCGCCAGCAGCCCCTCCCCGGTGGTCTTCACCGTGGGCTCTCCCCCCAGCGGGACCACTCCGCCCCAGGGCCCCCGCGCCAGGATGTTCTCAGGTGAGGGCCGGTGGGGCTGGGGCTAGGGCTGTGTCGCTTTGGGGCGGTGTCAGCAGCAGCATGGCGGCTCCTCCAGTTCCGGCGTCTCTGGGCTGGCGCACCCAGGGCCGGGGCTGGCTGAGGAGCTGCGCAGGCCCCGGAGAAATCCACGCTCTGTCTCCCCTCTGTAACGTGGGCGCAGCCCTGGGACTGGAACCTAGGGCGCCTGTGCCAGTCGCTAAGCCTGAGGCATCGCCTTGCCAGGACAGGGGCCATTGCCATGCTGCCATGGAGGCTGCCCCGTGTGTGCTGGGGCCAGGCCGAGCACAGCGACGGGGCCAGCATGCCCCTGGGTTCCCGTCTGCGGCTCGTGGGGAGCGCTGGGCCCGGGGCCTGGCAGGGGTGGGAGGATCGATTCCTGGCCAGCGGCTGTCACGGGGTCTCTGGAGGGGCTGGGGGCTGCGCTGCCCTGTCTGAGGACCCGTGGGCCCCACCCCTCCCGAGTCCAGACGGCCCCCGCTGCCCTCACTTGCCCCAGGCAGACCGGGCCGGGTGTTGTGAGCACAGGGTGTCCCTGCAACGGGGACCTTGGCCTGGTGGGAGGGCGGTGGGGGGGGGGTCCCATGGGTCCCAGCTCCCGTGCCTCCTGCCGAGGCCTCAGGGTGTGGCGGTGTGAGGTGTGGGGCAGGGCCCTGAGCGGGTCCTGGGCTGCTCACGGGCCGCTCCCCACAGTGGGCTCCTCGGGCTCCTCCTCCGCCCGCCACCTGGTGCCCGGCGCCTGCGGCGAGGCCGTTCCCGAGCTCCCCGGCCACTGCTGCACCTTCGCCGACCCCATTGCTGCCAACCTGGAGGGGGCCGTGACCTTCGAGGCCCCCGACCTCCCGGAGGAGACCCTCATGGAGGTGAGGCTGGGCTGGGGGAGGCGGGACCCTAAGGGCTTGCACTCCTGCTGGGGTGGGTGCAGGGCTGTGGCCCCTGCCCAGCCCGCGGCCAAGCCCTGACCTCACATGTCCCCAGCAAGAGCACACGGAGACCCTGCACAGCCTGCGCTGCACGCTCCTGTTCGCGCAGCACGTCCTGGAGATCGCGGCCCTGAAGGGCAGCGCCGGCGAGGCGGGCGGCGGCCCCGAGTTCCAGCTCCAGGAGAGCGTGGTGGCCGACCAGATCAGCCTGCTGAGCCGCGAGTGGGGGTGCGTGCGGGCCGGGGCGGGGGTGGCGTCAGCCGGGGGCCGGTCCTGCACCTGCTGACGCACCTGCCGCCCTCCAGCTTCGCGGAGCAGCTGGTGCTGTACCTGAAGGTGGCCGAGCTGCTGTCCTCGGGCCTGCAGACAGCCATCGACCAGATCCGGGCCGGCAAGCTCTGCCTGTCGTCCACCGTGAAGCAGGGTGAGGACCGAGGCCGCTGGGCCCCAGTGCGGGGTCCCGGGCGTCCAGGGTGTGGGCCCGGCCCCGCCGAGGGAGAAGTGCAGGCCAGGGGCCTGTGGCCGTGGGGGAGATGGGGGCGACGGGAGGCCCCTCTGGGCCTGGCGCACGGCCCAGCCTACAGCACAGAGGGCTCAGACGCCTGGGCCAGGTGTGGAGCGCAGCCTCTCTCCGAGGGCTGGGGCAGGCCGGGGGTGTGACAGGGAAGGGACTCGTCGGCTGCCTGCTCCTCTGCCACCGCCCCCTGCTCCCTCCCGCTCACTCCCCCCACGCTGGGTGCTCGGGCAGAGCCTGCCTCCCCGCGTGTCCCCGCCCCAGCCCGAGTCCGCAGGGGCCCCCCCTCTGTCGCCGGCCGCGTCCCTGCAGAGGGCGGGGTGCTGACGGGCCGTCCCCCGCAGTGGTGCGCAGGCTGAACGAGCTGTACAAGGCCAGCGTGGTGTCCTGCCAGGGCCTGAGCCTGCGGCTGCAGCGCTTCTTCCTGGACAAGCAGCGGCTGCTGGACCGCGTCCACAGCATCACCGCCGAGAAGCTCATCTTCAGCCACGCCGTGCAGATGGTACGGGGCGGGGGCGCGGCCAGAACCCCAGGCTGGCGCTGTCTGCCCTGGGAGGGGGCTGGGTGCCCACAGCGTGGACTGCGGGGTGTCCCTGCTGGCTCCCTGCCGGCAGTGGGAGAACTCGGGAATGTGGACTGGACCCCCGCAGGGGACTGGCGCTCCGCTCAGCTCCTGACCCCCTTTGCTGGGCCGGGCGTGTTCTCTGTGCACACCGCACGGCTCAGGTGGGTCCTGGCCGCGTCCCTCCCTGAGACTCAGTTTCCCCACCTGTGAAACAGACCTGGTCTTAAGGCCTCTTGGGCAATTCAGCCTCCTGAAGAACGACTGTGGCAGGGTGCAGGCAGCGCCTCTGCTTTAGGAAAATTCATGCACAGGGTGGAAATCCAGTCTAAGCGAACGTGCGGGAAGAGCGTCCCCTCTGACAGGGTGGCGTCGGCCCCTCCGGGGGGGTGACAGGCTGCAAGGGCTCGCGCCGCCCTCGGAGCTGCTGGTCGAGGGCCGGCACTTGGGGGGTGCAGGCGGCTCGGGCCCAGCCCCGCCCCGTCCTCACCGCAGGTGCAGTCGGCCGCGCTGGACGAGATGTTCCAGCACCGTGAGGGCTGTGTGCCGCGCTACCACAAGGCCCTGCTGCTCCTGGAGGGGCTGCAGCACATGCTCTCGGACCAGGCGGACATCGAGAACGTGGCCAAGTGTGAGTGCGCGGGGCTGCGGGTGGGGGCAGGGCCGGGCACCTGCGTCACACTCTCCCCCTCCCCCCACAGGCAAACTGTGCATCGAGCGCAGACTCTCCGCCCTGCTGACCGGCATCTGTGCCTGACCTGGGGGTGGCCTGCTGCGCCCAGGGGCTGGACGTGCTCTGGACGTGCTCTGCCAAGCCCTGCAGGCGGGTCGGCATGATGGCCGGCGCTGAGCCTCCCTGCAGGACGCTGTGTGGAGCCACAGCTTGTGTGGCTCCTGCCCCCTGGGCGGGCGGGGTCGGCTGCCCCCACACGCGGGGGTCTCAGAACTTCTCCGCTCCCGCTGCCTCACGCCGGCACCGGTGCCAAGAGGTGGCAGGTGTGCCTGGGCGCCCACCACCTCGGGAGACCCCAGGGCCGCCCCCAAGGACAGGCAAGGCCCCGAGACAGCGTCGCCGACTCAAAGCCAAAGCAAGCTTTCCTCCTGGCCAGACCTGTGCGGTCGCCGCCAGGAAGAGGCCAGCCTCCCGGCCCCAGGAACCTCTCCGAGACCACCCACCCAGCTTTGCAAATCACGAGCACTTTACGCACTCAGACTCGAGCCTCGGCTTCCTCTGCGGCCGCTGGGAGGCGGCTCCTCGTGGCTGTCCCGAGGTGACTGTGCATATCCACATACATGTACACAGCTGTAGATAGCCCCGAGCGTGTGTGGCGTGTGCGAGTGGTGCGCTGGGCGTGTCCAGCGCGTGTGTGGACCCTGGGAGGAGAGTGGGCTCCGCGTGTGTGGGGCCACTGCCCGCAGGGGAGACTTGGTCCCCGGCTCGGATGTTCTTTTAGGGGCAGACGGCGGGAGCACGGCGCTTCTAAACCTGGAGCAGACGCCGTCATCTTTCACACTTTACTCCTGAAACGTGTCTTATTTTCATGCAGCTCATTTTTTCTTTCAAGGAGGAAACTCGTAGGAATTTCAGAAGTGGTTTGGAGGCAGGTGGTGCTGGGGTGGGCCGTGAGGCCGCTCTCCAGGCTGCTGCTGCGTGCGCCTGGCTCTGTCCCCCGCTGTCCCGCCCCGTTTTGGCAGCCAGGTGGGCGTGTGCCCAGCAGCTGTCCCGCCTGGGCACAGGCCGGCAAGGACAGGCACACGCGGGAGGAAAGTCACACGTGTAGCCCCAGCCAGCATCCCAGGCAGGGGGCGTGGGGGCTCCTCTTTCCTGCAGGTGGGGCTGCTGTGGTCCCGTCCCTCCCAGCTGCGTCCCAGCAGCCACCACAGGTCGGGAGAGGCCTCCCGGCCTGCCCACGCCCACTTGAATGTATCCCCAGGGACTGCGGGAGGCCGAGCTGGGTCCCGTGCCCAGGGCGAGGGGCTCATAGGTCACATGCCACATACACAGGCGGGACACACACGTGTTTTTCTTTGCAATACTTGAAATATTGCCACTGTGCTTGGACTTAAGAAAATTACCCCAACTTGTTTCTTTTCTTATCACTTGATGACTTCATTTCTACCTGGCTGCACGTGACGTGTTGGTATTTATTACTTTATGGCGACTGGAATCTGGAGCCGCTGGGGAGGCTGGTGCTGCATGAGGGCCGCACCACTTCCCGCGCCCTTGTTGCGTCTGTCGCGGCCATGTGCGCCCCGCGTGTGCCCCACGTGTGCGTGAGTCCGGAGCCTCCTGGTTGTATGTTCTCCATGAGAGACCCTTTGTCTATTTTAAAACGAATTCTGTGTGATCTCCCCCTTTTGCGTTATTGTGTAATATCAACTTAAGGAAATAAACCTTTGGAATTACGGAGCTGCGTCACAGTCGCTTGTCACTGTCCTCAGCGTCCCTTCGCTTCCCTCCCCAGACGCTGGCAGGGAGGGCCCATGTCCTGCGGCCCAGGAGCCCCGGGGCCCAGCACAGGGGAGCAAAGCTTTGAGAGCAGAGCCCGGGCAGCAGCTGGGGGCACTCGTGGACGGCAGGGTGGGCCTGTCACTGCCTCCTTCCCCAGCCCGAGGCCCAGTGGGGAGCAGCTGGGACCACGGGCCCGGGCCGCCTCCCGGACACTGCCCACTTCTAAATTGGGTTGTTTGCCCAGGGCTTGCATTTTCAAATCTACATGTTGTTTTTATCAGATAAAAATAACTCGTTAAAAAACCACTAACCCAAATACTAGAAATGAAAGTTCATTGAGAGTTTGGCCTTGCAGAGGAAGTGGAAGGTGGAGACCTCGAAAGTCAGCGTCCCAGGAGGGATGGCTTCCAACGGGGCTTCCTCAGGCAGGAAGGGCCACACCTGTATGCGGCCTTCTGGGCACAGGGAAGGCCCGGACAGGCTCACGGTGACCATGGCATTTGGTTGGCGTTGACTTGGCGGGCCTCACTCTTTGGAGCAGTTCCAGGTTATGGGATCACTGAGCTGAGCACGGAGTCCCACACACACCTCCGGCCCCAGCGCCGCTGCCTGTGGTCTGCAGGGCGCGCTCTGGAAGCAGGGCCGGTGCTGCCACCAGCCAGATGCCAAGGCTCACGGCAGGGCTTTGACAGATGGGGAGAGCCGGAGCCCCAGCCCCGGTCCTGCCAGGCTTCACTTCGGAGTGTTGGAGCTGGGCCATGCCCGAGTGGCCTTTTCAGATGGCTCCCGCACCTCTCGACGTGTATTTAAGTTTCCTCAGTGTCTTCTCACGGCTCAATAGCTCCCTTCCTCCCAGCACTGACCAGCACGCGTCTGGTGGGCCGCAGTGTTCGGGCACCCACCTGTGGAGGACGGTGTGGCTGCTTCCTGTGGACACGACTGTGTGGTCCTGCGTGTGCAGGAGCCTAATGGTGCAGGTGGGCCCGGAGGGGCCATGACCACACAGGAGGGACCTTGCCTTGCGCACTCGGGGCAGGTGGGGGCAGGGCACCCAGCCTGCACCACCACAGCCCTGCAGCCCCCAGGCGCCTAACCCACCCCAGGTCTCAGTTTACCCCCATACACAGGAATGGGTGTGGTCGGCCGACTGGGCCCCCGAGTTGGTGCGAGCCCTGTCCCACCTGACGTCTGCATGTGGGCCAGTCAGGTGGAGCCTGGAGTGGGGATGCAGCACAGTGGCAGTTGGGGGGGGGGCTGCCCTGCAGAGCAGCCTCCACCTGGCCAGCTGCATGACCCTCCTGGCCCATGGGGGTGGGCAGGGGGAGGCTGACCCCTTTACCCATAGCACAACCCAGAGCTCGTGGTGCCTCACTGGCTCTGACTGGCTGGTTTAGGTCACCTGGCCACAGCGGAACGTTCTGGTTGCTGAGGCGGTGTGCGCACAGGCAGGCTCAGCCAGGCCCCACACCTCCAGAGCTGTGAACCCTGAGGTCGGGGAGGGGATGTTTTCCCCCACAAGGCAAAGCTCCACGGGAAGGAGGGCCAGGGGACAGGTCTCCAGCCAACAGGGAGGGGCTCCGTGGGTGGCCGTTGCTTCCGGACCTCAGTGCCACCCACCTTGCTCTTGGAGCCTGGGGGGGGGGCTGTCCCCAGGGGTGGATTGCACAGTGAGCCGCCCTCCCCACCTGGGCCACTGTATCACCTTCCTGTCTCCCCGTCCTGCTTGGCCACCGGCCCCTCGCAAGGCCCACAGCCCGCCAAGTGCTCCTTGGAAAGAGGCATCTGATTGGGTCCCTCGGGGACGCCCGTGTCACTCAGCCACGGCCAAGTCCCCACCCCACCCCCACTGTGGCCCCCACACCCTGGCCCTGGCTCCTCTGGCCTCGTTTCCCACCGCTGTGTCCTGTCACCAGCATCCAGAGGCTTCCCTACCTGCGTGCAGACTCCAGGTGGGCATGTCCCCCAGCCTGCCGCCTCCCCCAACCACCTGCAGGAAGGGGTGCAGCAGGAGGGGCGCCGGTTGGGACCTGCCGCAGGCCTGACAAGTTCCTGCTTGGGGGCCTGTGCCTGGAACACTCTCCCGCTAGATACAAGCATAGTTCACTTGCTCCCCAAAAGCAAGCTTATGGTTGCCGAATTGTGAATTGTGGCCCCCAGAATGGAATTAGGGGTCTTTTTTTTTTTTTTTGAGACAGAGTCTCGCTCTGTCACCCAGGCTAGAGAGTGGTATGGCGTCAGCCTCGCTCACAGCAACCTCAAACTCCTGGGCTCAAGTGATCCTCCTGCCTCAGCCTCCCAGAGAGCTGGGATTACAGGCACGCCATGTGGCTGGGATTAAGGATCTTGGGATGGGGGATGACACAGTATTGCCCGGGGGGGGGTGGGCACTGTCACCACATGAGCCTTTGCAAGGGACAAGAGGGTCAATGCAAGAGGGGGTGGACAGGTGGAAGCAGAGAGTGAGGTGGTGCTGTTGGGGGCCAAGGAACTCGGATACCTCTAGAAGCCGGGAAGGCAAGGAAGCAAACAGACTCTCCCCGGAGCTGCCAGAAGAAGCCAGCTCTGCAGACACTTTTACTTTAGCCCAGCGAAGCTGATCTGGGACTCCGGAAGCTGAGAGCACGTGTGTGTTGTTCTAAGCCCCCAAGCTTGTGGTCACTTGTTACTGGCAGCCCCAGGAAATGAGTGGAAAGCCGTCGCTCAAATCTCAGCTTCTCAGCCAGGCCCTTGGTGACCAGTAGCCCCACAGACCTGGGCACAAGGGGCCTGCAGGGTCCAACTCCAGCCTCGCGGGGCTGTCTGTGCTCCTTCCAGTGAGTGGGTGCCTGCAGGGGCCAGGGGGCGTGCCCGCCTGAGATCTGCAGTCCCCTTTCTGGTCCTTCCATCTTCGGGTACTTGGGACCCTTCGCCAGGATTGACCGAGGCAGGGGAGGTGCCGCCGGAGGGAGGGTCGGGGCAGAGCTGGGGTGGGCGAGGGGTGCCCGCCTGTCCCTGGGCGCCTTCCAGCGTGGGAAAAGGGTGGGCCTCGAGCTGGGGCCCAGGTGCCTGCTCCCCAGGCCGCATGACAACGCATTTCTGGAGGTGGGGTTCGGCAGGCTCTATTGGGCGTTTGTCACCAGGCACTGCGCCCCTGCAGGCGCCGCGCGTTGCCATCTGTACAGTGGGGACACGAGGACCGCACCAGCGCCGCGCGAGGGCCGAGCGCTACCGTGTCCCGCGGTGGGGCGGCGCGCAGCAGTGCTTGGCTGCAGCAGACCCCGAGGGCAGGCCCGGCCCGGCGCTGGGCTGAGCAGGCCCGGGACCAGCTGGTGCTGTGTGACTTCAGGCTTCATCTCTCTGCTCCTCAGTTTCTTCTTCAGAAACGGGGATGATACTGGAGCTTGCCGCGCAGCGTGGGGGCAAGCCCTGGGCGAGCGAACGCGCGTGTGGCCGTCACTGTTTACTCTAGGCATTCGCGCTCGAGCGCATGCCCGGCGCGGCTTCGCTTTGCCAGACGTGGCGGCGCGGGAGGAGGGAGGCCCCGCCCCTGCCCAGGCCCCGCCCCCGCCCAGGCCCCGCCCCTGCCCGGGCCGCGCCGGTCCCGCCCCTTCGCCTCCGAGGACGTTTGTCTGCGCTCGGCCGCCGTCCGTCGCTCGCTCCACTTCCGCCTTCTCCCACGTGGTCCTGTTCCAACTGGGTCCGCGGCGCCGTGAGTGGGGCCAGGCGGGGGGCGCGCCCCTCTGGTCCCGACGCGGGTGGCCTGGTTCTCCCCGACTCCCGAGGAAAGCCCACGGGCGGGGCGGGAGGGGTGGGAGTCGGGAGGTCAGAGGTCAGCCTGGGGGTCAGGAGATGTTGGAGGTTAGCCGTGGGGCAAGGGCGTCGGGGTCCTGGAGGGGTTAGAGTTCAATAGGCGGGGCTGGGGCGTCAGGATTCCGGAAGGTCAGAGTTCAGCACTGTCAGGATCCCGGGGAGGTCAGGGGTCATCAGGAGCGGGGCAGGGACATTGGGGGTGGGTCCTTGAAGGTCAGGGGTCAACAGAGGGGCTAGGACATCAGGGATCCCGGGAGGTCAGGGGTCAGTAGGAGCGAGGTTGGGACATCGGGAGTTCTGGGAGGTCGGGGCCGGGGACTCCACGTCCCGGGCGGTCAAGGGTCAGCGGGGCCTGGCGGCAGGGTCCCAGCAGGAGAGGGCCCATAGGTCAGGCGTCAGCGGGGTCAGGGGTCAGGGCAGCCGGGCCCGTATGTCAGGGGTCGGCGGGGCGCGGTCAGGGCAGAGGGGCCGTGGGTCCGGGGTGGGCGGGGCGGGGTCAGAATAGCGGGACCCAGGAGGTCAGGGGTCGGGGTCAGGGCAGCAGGGCCCGTGGGTCAGGGGTTGGAGTTGGGGTCCGGGGTCGCAGTCAGGGCAGCGGGGTGCATGGGCCTGCCCGGCCTGCGGGTCGTGGCCGGGGTGCTGCTGCGGCGGACAGCCTGCGGACCGTGGACCGTGCGCCCGCTCTGGTAATGCCTGACCCCCGACCCCGGAACCCCGGCCCTGCACGGCCCGGCCCCGACCCGTGGCCTCGCACGCTCACAGCCCGGTCTTTGCAGCTCGCCCCGCATGCCCGGGAACGTGGAGGCGCCCGTGGGGCCCCGGCACCCGCCTGACAGGCGGGCGCGGGGCAACTGGCCAGGCGGCGTGCGGGCCTGGGAGGACTCGGAGCACCAGGCCAAGAGGCCCAGGGGCAGCGAGGAGGAGGAGCGGCGCCGGCTGCCTAAGCGCAAGATCGTGCTGCTCCTGGCCTACGCGGGCAAGGGCTACCACGGCATGCAGGTGCGGCTGGCCCCCTTCCCAGCGCGCCTGCCCCCGCTGCGTGCGGTTCTGCAAGGTTTGGATTCAGTCCGCCCCACGAGATTCTGTGCTGACCACGGGCAGGCAGTCAGGGCCTAGCCCTGCTCTGAAGCTCAGTGATCTGCTGCAAGCAGGTGACTCTCTGTGCCTCAGTTTCCTCATCTTTAGGATGGGGACGCTCACCTGTCTACCTGCCTAGGAGGGTGTGAAGGTGCATGATGCTAAGTGGACAGCACCTGGAAGCTCAGAAGAGGGGCTGTTGCTGCTGGTCGTGTGTGGCACCTGGGCACAGCTGGGTGTCAGCTCAGGGTAGTCACCCCTCAGGGGTCTCTACGCAGAGCACCAACAGGATCCTTTTCTGGAAGGTGGGGGGTGAGGGCTCCACAGCCAATGCAGGTAGATGGTTTTGTTCCTGCTCGTAGCAACTCCCTGGTTCTCGTTTTGGTACCGAGTTCTTTAAACTTCTCTAACTCCTGGCTCCAAGCGATCCTCCTCAGCCTCCCGAGTGGCTAGGACTACAGGCATGCGCCACTGAACCTGCCCTGTGTTCTTTAAATTTCTTTAAGTCCAACCCACAGTAAGAAATTCACTGCTGTGTGCGGAGTATCCAACTGAAATAGGGCTTAAGAAAACGATGCTAAACCTTGCCATGTGTCATTAATGAGTTGCTTTATATCCGATTTTATTTTTAAAAACCATAAGCTACCACCCATGAAACTAATTTCCTGACAGTTGGTGGTCAGGAATTGTGACTAGAGGTTGGCAAATGTAGCTTTAGCCTGACTTACCCTCAGGCATTAGTAGGATGAGACAAACCATGTCTGTTGCTCTTTGTGGGGGATTCAAATGGTTTTTTGAGAGATTTTGCTTATGGAAGGTTCTTGCTTGAGGCACTGTCTTGAGAATTTTACCCATCTTTATCATACGATTGCCTCAGTTTCCCCATTAGGGAAATGGGGAGTGGAGAGTGACGGTAACTCACAAGGCTGAGTGAAGGGTTGTCATTCCTGTTGGTGAATATTCATTTGCATTATTTGAGAAGCACTCACGATTTTATGCTGAGTAAGGAGGTTGGAATTACATTGCAGTGGGAAACTGTCAGGTAGACTTTGGGTAGAACTTCTCCACTCATGTGAGTCTTGGCAAAGTGCTCGCAGGCCCTTGCGGTCTACGTGGGTGGGAAAGGTGTTCTGTGAGATGGTGGGCAGGGTCTCCCAATGTCCTGGGATCCCACGGGCCCCGTAGTACCCTGATTCCCTGAAAATAAGACCTACCATAAAATAAGCCCTAGCAGGATTTCTAAGCATTTGGCAATAGAAGCCCTACCCCCAAAATAAGACCCAGTGACGGGCGTTGCTATGCAGCGCCTCTGCACAACCCATGCATTTCGTAGGGGACCAGTAAAGAACACGAGCAGCCCTTCTCATCTGCCCCATGAGAGCTCTGTGGCTTGACATGAGAGATCGGGGCTGATGGTTCTAAAGGAAACAGAGTTGCAAGAAATTCAGGATGGAATTCGGGGTTTGGAGAGTGATGATGATGTTCCAGAAGAAGACGACTTAACTATATTTGAATAAATGTAGATGGTTGTACCGTACTTAAAAAAAATAACACATCCCCTGAGAATAAGCCCTAGGGTGTCTTCTTGAGGAAAAAATAAATATAAGACCCTATCTTATTCTCGGGGAAACATGGAATCACTGGAGCAGGTGGAGGGGCGCAGGGTTGGCCGAGGTTCTGACAGCAGCGGTTTTCCTCCCCGGTGTGCGTTCATCCCAAGACAAATGGCGCAGGGACCACTGTGAACTGAAGGGATTAGGAAAAACCAGGGACGTCCAACCGGCCCTGACTGGCCAGTGTCACCTGGCAGAGGATGGTGATGAGGGAGGGGCCGCCCCTCCGAGGCCGGGCGCGGCAGACAGAAGTGGGCCTGCGCGGGAGGCAGCGCCTCCCATTCTGGGGCTGGTTTCGGATCTGCCTGGGTGGGGGAGGTGTCTCGGGGACACAGGTGCTGGTGTGTGTGCGCACTGCACAAGCCCTGGACACGGCAGCCAGGCCCAGGGGTGGTGACCGGATGAAAACAATCTCTTTTCCTCTCTTTTTTCCAGAGGAATGTTGGGTCCTCGCAGTTCAAGACAATTGAAGACGACTTGGTGTCCGCCCTTGTCCGCTCAGGCTGTATCCCTGAAAACCACGGCGAAGACATGAGGAAGATGTCCTTCCAGCGGTGCGCCCGGACAGACAAGGTGGGTGGCAGCCGTCTCTGCCCCTCGCCCGGCAGGTATGACCGGCACCCGGCCCACTTTCCCCCTTAGTGTCTTTGTCTGTCGGGCTCTTCTGGGTACAGGTGACACAGGCTCAAATCAAACTGGCCTGAACAGAAAGGAACATTTTGCCCTAACAAGCCCAGGGGCATCACCAGCTCAGGTATGGCTGGATCCAGGTGCTCACTGCCAGCAGGGCTTCGGTCCCCTCCAGTCGTTGCCTTCTCCTCTGTCAACTCTGTCCTCAGGCACACTCACCCCTGCAGGTGGCATGGTGGCCACAACATCTGCCTTAGGCCTGCCCAGTGCAGATGCGATCGTGTGGCCACAAAGGCAAGCCACACTTGTAGTGTTACGCTTTCTAGTAGCCGCATGTGTGAGGGAAAAGGAAATTGGTGAGTTTAGCTTTAATAATTACTAAAACTTTATTTATAAACTCAGTATAGCCAAAATACTATCCTTATTTCAGCGTGTAGTCAATATAAAAAGTCTGTTAATGGGGTTTGTTTTACATCTCTTGTTTGTGTGCTAAGTCTTTGGAATCCACTTTGCTTTTTTTTTTTGAGACAGAGTCTTGCTCTGTTGCCTGGGCTACAGTGCCGTGGCGTCAGCCTAGCTCACAGCAACCTCACACTCCTGGGCTCAAGCAATCCTCCTGCCTCAGCCTCCCAAGTAGTTGGGACTACAGGCATGCGCCACCATGCCCTAACTGCTTTTTTGTATATATATTTTTAGTTGGTCAATTAATTCCTTTCTATTTATAGTAGAGACAGGGTCTCACTCTTGCTCAGGCTGGTTTTGAACTCCTGACCTCGAGCAATCGCCCGCCTCCGCCTCCCAGAGTGCTGGGATTACAGGTGTGAGCCACCATGCCTGGCCTGGAATCCACTTTGTATTCCCCCAACCCCCGCCTGCCTGGTCCCCCGCCTGTCACGTGGATTCCTAGCCAGGTGTGGCTGGTGACCCTGTGCTGTCCATTCAGACTCGCAAGACTGTTTCTCTCTAGTGTTTCTCTCGATCTTTGAAGTCATTCGTGACAGTTCATAAGTTTTGCTGTGATTGTCCCACTTGTTTGTACACAGACCTTTGTTTCCCTATTGGGTTGTTCCCTGCAGATGCATTTCTAAAGGCAGAATAGTGCGTGACAAGGTGGCGTTGGCGAGGCCCACCTTTCCTCCGCCTGTTCTGCTTTCTTTGCAGGGCGTGTCTGCAGCCGGCCAGGTTGTGTCCCTGAAGGTGTGGCTGATCGACGACATTCTAGAAAAGATCAACAGCCACCTTCCGTCGCACATTCGGATTCTGGGTAAGCCTGGCGGCGCGAGCGGCCGCACACCTGGTGGTATCGGAGGGTCTCGCAGAGGCTGGAGCTGCACACGCCCCTGCCGCCCCCTGCCAGGCGTCTCTGGCGTGGAAGTGGAGCCAGAGAGCCATGCGGCGCTTTGCAGGTGGAGGTGTGGCCGCAGATCTTGCTGGCAGTTCAGTATTCCCGTCTCCTTCAGACCGGGGGACAGCCTAGGTGGACAGTGGAGTCCCTCGTTTGTGGCACCTTGCTGCTCCCCAGTGCCTTACTGTAAGCAAACACTGGATGTGGAAATCAGAATTGACAGTTAAAACAGGGGCAACTGTTCCCTTCTATGCCAGGACTAAGAAAGGGGATTTTTAGGCCTCTTTAAAAAAATAGCCTATCCTTGCCTTTTGAGTGGCATGTAGAGGTCACTTATATTTAATGTAATTGTAGACATGGCGGGGTACAAACCTACCATCTTGCTATTTCCTCTGAGATCGCTCGATCAGAGTTCGAAACCAGCTGAGCAAGAGTGAGACCCCGTCTCTACTATAAATAGAAAGAATTAATTGGCCAACTAATATACATAGAAAAAAAAATTAGCCAGGCGTGGTGGTGCACGCCTGTAGTCCAGCTTCTCGGAGGTGAGCAGGAGGATGCTTGAGCCCAGGAGTGTGAGGTTGCTGTGAGCTGGCTAGCCACAGATCACTCTAGCCTGGCCAACAAAAGCAGACTTGTCTCAAAAAAAAAGAAAAAAAAAAAAAAGAGCGAACAAGGCGCCTGGTGCGGCGCTCCTGGGATCCGCCTTCCCGCCCGCACTCGAGCTTCGCAGATGTACCCGAGTCAGGCGCTGGGCCAGCTCCTTCTGAGGCGGATGGATCCTGGGACCCGGAGGTCTTGCTTGTCTCAGTCTCACCCGAGCCCCTCGGGGCAGATCCCGGACAAGGGACTTCCTCACCCCAGCTCCCGAGGCTGCCACTAGTTCTTGCTTTTTCTTCCAGAAATTGTGCACACACGGCGTGCCCAGCAGGTGCCTGTTCAGTGTCTGTGCTTGACCAGTGCTCCCAGGTGTTGACTGGGCGCCTGCCGGAGCTTCTCGTGCCGGCGTCTCGGAGAGGAGACCGGCCTCAGTCCTGGAGCTTTGTCCCTGTCCCTCCCACGGATATTGGGATTTATGCCTCGGTCTTCCATTGCTGGTTCTAAGGCGGTTTCCAGTTTCGTTCTGTCACTTTGAAACAGCGCTGCCGACGTGGCTCATCTGCAGAATAAACCCTAACGAGCGGGTTTCTGGATTCACCCTCTCAGACGTCTGGCATTTTATTCTGGGGCGGCCCGGCTCACACGCGGAGATCAGCGAAGCGTGGGATTTATCCCAGGACTGTCGCCAACGCTGGGTTTCCACAGACCCTTATGTTTGTGCTGTTTGGATTTGTGTTTAATCCTGAGATTAGTATTGTGTGGATTTAGGGTTTAATGCACAAAGTCCAATTCTTTTTCGTTTAACAATGTTTCTTTTGTTTTGCTTTAATTATTATTTTTAATTGACACATGAGAACTGTACGTATTTGTGGGGCACAAAGAGGTATTTCTACACATGCACATAACGTGTAGTGATCAAGTCAGGGTCATCAGCGTACCCGTCACGCAGAATTTATCATTTCTTTCTTGGGTGCATTTAAATCCTCTATGTGCTGTAGCAGCAAGAAAAAAAATCCTCTATGTTGGCTATTTGAAAATACACAATAAATTGTTTTTTGTTGGTTTTTTTTTGAGACAGAGTCTTGCTCTGTTGCCCGGGCTAGAGTACCGTGGCGTCACCTAGCTCACAGCAACCTCAAACTCCTGGGCTCAAGCAATCCTGCCTCAGCTCCCAAGTAGCTGGGACTACAGGCATGCGCCACCATGCCCGGCTCATTTTTCTATATATTTTTAGTGGCCAATTAATTTTTTCTATTTATAGTAGAGACGGGGTCTCGCTCTTGCTCAGGCTGGTTTCGAACTCCTGACCTCGAGCGATCCTCCCGCCTCGGCCTCCCAGAGTGCTGGGATTACAGGCGTGAGCAGCCTCGCCCCTCCACAAGAATTCGTTATTTACAGCTGCCCATAGCGCCGCAGAGCCCTGGCGCCCCTCCCCGACGCCTGCTGACCGGCCCGGGAGCCCTCCTGTCCCCAGCAGTGCGCCCTGGCGAGGGCTGCGTACCTGTCTGGGCGAGGGGGGGCC